AGCTTACAGAACTTGCATAGAGGGGAATTCAGTTAAAATCAAAGAGGAAAACAAGTCTCAAACAGCTGCATCATCGACGCACATGGCTTTTACCACTGGCATCAGTAGGACTCAGCTAGAGTCCTGTAAGCACGAGTGGTCCTGTGGACACTACAATTTAAATTGCAATTCTGCATACAGTGAATATTGCCTTAGTTTTATGATGTTACTACATGCACTGCTTCTGTCAACTCGTGTGGCGTTTCCAGATGCAGTGCAAGTAAAGGTAAGTGCTCAAATCCAAGTCCCATCCGCAGCCGCATAGCACCAGGACCTAAAAGCAATGCGGAGCCACAGCTCTGTTGCACCCAAGCGGTGGGGCTGGGGTCACTCCGTCCTGTTGGGCACAGCACTGGTCCCCCACCGTGTCTCCTGCACACCAATACTGTGGCCACGGCTACGTGGGGTTTCACACTGTGCAGACCTGTAGTAGCCCAACACCCTGAGCAGGCTGGGGGCTCAGGGAGCTCTGTGCGGCTCCACAGCCTGTCGTAGGCAAGGTCAGGTCTTTTCTGTGGCCTCTCTCCAAAGCACTGAGTACACACATCGCTACTTGGGTTGGCCGCTGGGTCCCTGGGCTTGGTCCCTGCTGGAGTTGTAAGGGAAAAATGGTTTAACTCGATGGTGACTTCAGGGCAGTGACAAGCATTAGCTCTTTGTGACATGTGGTGGCACCCTGAGGTGGATTAAGGAATTGGATGGGATGGTGCCGTATTTGGATTTTGTAGGATACCATGGTATAGGTGTTATTTTGCAGGACATATCAACAGTAATGAACCCCCTTTCCCAAGAAGTGCACACAGGTTAAATTCATAATGCCAGACCACACCAACTTGCCCCAGTTTCTTCAAACCACTCTTCACATCTTTACTGTTGCCTAATATGATTACAGGGTCAATGAGCTGCCTGAGATGTTGCTACATACCCTGTGGTTCTGGGCACAGCTTATCTTCATAGTATTTCTGTGGCAGTGCCTCCTGATGAGGCCAGGTTTGATTCTCACCTGACACCAGTTTTATGCAGCAACTCACCTGCACCTGAATTTGGCCTCATTTCTATCTGTAGAGCCATGGGATCCCCCTGGCTGTACACAAGATCTGAACTCAATCTCTTCTGACTTCAACAGCTACCACCATGGGTTTAAACTGGCGTGAGATGATCAGAATCACTGATCTTGGAAGACAAAAGAAACAGACAAAACATTTTTGAAACAGAACGGCTAAAGTAAAGCTACTGAGTCCATCAGAAAGGCAGGTCTGACAAGAATACTGCAGAGAAGATGGCTACTCTCTAAGTCAGGCAGGAACACTTGCATTCAGCAGCAGGGAGGTTTCGATAATGAAGGAGAGCCTAACTGAGCTTTTAGCCTATACATATAGGCTACAAAATATCAAGTGATATACCTAACATATGTCACTATATCTAGTGAGTATCTGTATCTCTCTCTCTCATTAGACAATACAGAATGCCTACACGCATTGCTGCGGTCTGGTTATATCAAGTCCAGGAGGAGCATTAGAAATGGAGGAACTGAGCCCTCCCAACATTAACAAGACTTATTTGATTCGTATTTATAAAACAGTATGTAAAGTAAAGCTGGCAGATGTCATAAGGACAGTGGACTGGTTTCTCCTCTTCATCCCCTTTGCCCCATTCCCAGTGCACTCCAGTGAGGCTGGGGAGATGCTGCGAGAGGCAAAGGCCCTTTGCAATGACACCTCGGTCTGCGGCCCTGCCCACGTATAGGACGTTTCTACGCTTGGTTCAAAATGACAAATTAATTTTCTTCGGTGCCTTGTGAAATATTTTGCCTTTCTTAAAATTTCAGGACACTGGTCTATTGCAGATGAGTTAACCTTCTGAAAACCAGTACGTTGATAGCATATTCAGTTTTGACACTGACTTCAGGGACTACAGGACCAAGATGACAGAGCTGTTGCTACTTTTTGTCATACCTTCATCGCCTGCAAGGAGACAACAGATGCAAACAGGACTATACACAAACTACAGAGGAACACTTTAATAATTCTGCTACCACTCAGCAGCGGTAAGAGTGTTTTCTCTTTGCAGCTATTGCATCTTTTTTTCCTGTGCTATGAAGTAATGAGCAAGGACCTTCTGCTGCAAACACACATACAAATCCATACATGTGTACACACACACGCATGCATGTGCTTGCTTCAATAATGTGCGTAGTGGAGTTTCTCCTGAACTCAAAGCAAAAAAGTATATTAATACCTAAGTCAGAATCCTTACCAGCCTCATTTTTGCTATCTTTTAAGTTGCACTCACAAAACTAATAATAGGATTTAGACAGCATTAAATACTGATAAAAAAATACAATGAAAACATTTCTTCCAAAGTACCTAAAAACTTGTCATTGAATCCAAACTGTTACAATGGAAGAACATCATAAATTCTGTGAAATTAAAAGCATAGAAATTAAGGTCCAGATTCAGTTTCTCGGATTTTGTTTCTTTAGGAGGAATGAAGATCTTGATCTTTATTCTTAAAAAAACCCCCACACTGATATCAACAGACCTGTTGCTATTTTTCAGAGGAGGTAATTTATAAATGAGAGAACACATTCACAGAGAGACTATTTAAATGACTAAAAGTCCAGAGACCATGTAAGAAAAAGTGAAATTAAGCTATAAGAAGCAAGCTGTGAAAGTTGCCACCAACACTATCAACAAAAAGGCTGTAAGCTAAACCAGAATGACTGAAAAAATAAAGGTAAGACAAAATGAAATAAAATACAATAAAAAGCACAAATACTGGGCCAAACCCGGCTACCCAAACTCAGGGTGAACCGTTTACACTCTTAGTTTGCTAAGTGTGGGAAGAGCTATTTGTCCTTTGAAAGGAGCCAAAGGAGCATTGCTAGGACCAGTGACCAGTGACCAAGGGGACATGGTCTAGGGGAACATGACCCATACGGGATACATCATCCCAGGCTTTCCCTCCGATCCCTGCTCTCGAGGACCCAACACACATCCCGTGCCTACAGATACTCACTGCACTCAGAGCAGGATATTCTGCCTGCACATTGTCAAATACTTCACTTAAGGCCTGCTGCAGCTCTTGACATGGAGGTTAAGTGCTATGTAAATGCCTCGCTTGAGCACTTAGGACTTTGCTGCCCTTGGATCTCGTACTGATGGAGCTCCCAAATACTTGCGTTTAGCCCTTTACTGGCATGCTCCCTTCACTGCTGAACTACTGATATTGCTCCAAACGTCCTGAAGCATGGGACACAAATGACAGTCTTGTCAGCTCTGGCAATTTTTTATGAAGCTTGGTGTCCTTAAATCCCAGCTGCAGAAATCAAGAGATTACATCACTGTCCCATTTTATCACTGTTAAAAACAAATGTGTCATTCCTGGCCCTCGGCATGCTTGAAAAATGCCTGAAAACATGTCATGAAATCAGTCTCAAAGCTCAGTATCCAGAAGGCAATACAAGAACCAAAAAAATTTATTTAAAAAAAACCCAAAACACCATGATTTGAAGCCAATCCTGTAATTTTTGGTGCTTGGTTCATGGGTTTGAATGCCTGAAGTGGGCAGTGTTAAGAGCAGACATAGCAAATGCCCAAGCAAACACATGCTGCTTCCCCATGGATTGAAACAAACAAACAATCTCATTTGATTAACTCTGCTGGAAGTAATATTTTAAGGGTAAAATGATTCCACAAAGATGACATGTTCGCATTTGAAATGAGATGAATATAGTGCCTGTAAAAGTGCAATAATCCTTAATAACTAACCCAAAAGAAGCATCATCCCCAGGGATAAGACGGTAATTCACTCTCCATATTTAATTTGTTTCTAAGCCGCTTTTGAAACAAGACTGCTAAATAGGAAGTTGGCTTGTGATCCTAGACTTGACTGCTGGACTTATAATCATGCCATTGATTGAGCATACATTTCAAACTAAGTCACAGGATACAAAATCAGGTGGGCTAATTCCTTAAGCTGTTTAAGCAGAAGATTGTGCACACAGGGTAAATTCAGAGATAGGAGTCTGTTTACTGGGGGAACAACAGGGGAAAGATAATACATTGTCTTCACTGAGTGACTGCAGCTAACTCTTTGAACAGTCTTGTGTCTGAAGATTGTATTTCAAGACATATCTATGCTTCATAAATGCATGGAAGTCTAGGATTTCAGTCTACATTAAAGGAACAAGTGACGACAATGCACTTAATTAGACTAAATAGTTACTGATTCTCATTAGTGAGATATTGCAAAAAGAATGGAAAACACTGGCTTATGACAAACCCACCCCAACACTACTTCATCTCAAGTACTCACCCTGTTCAAAAAAATGAAATACTTCAAGTGTTTTGTTTTCTTTTTCTTAAAAAAAACCCAACCAAAACCCACAAACAACAACCACCTTTCGTCTACATTTCTGAATAGTTCTCACTGTTGTGTTTTTATTCATTAGCTACTGGGGCCAGAATCAGAGTGACAAACACTGTCAGATTCACGTTTCAGCCATGTTACTGAAACCCTCAGAGAACAGATAAGGGTGTATCGACCACTTCAGTAAAAGGAATGTGCAGATAATACAGGATGTGCATGTTCTGCAAATGTCCTTTGCAGACAACCCTAAACTGGATGATTTCTCTAATTACGCACCTTGGCTACATTTATAATACAGTCTTCTGGAACAAAATATTAGGAAGTATTGATTTTTAAGAAATGGTAGTACTACAGGGAGCTAATATACAACAGCCACAGTAATGTTTGTCTTAAATGTGCATTGGGCAGAGTCCTTAAACTGCTTTTACTGCAAATATCCAAGGCCTGCTCTAAAAATCATAACAGTCTGAACCTTTTAAATGCAAATTTGTTCTATTTATCTGGTCACAACCCAGTGAGTAGAATCCAATAACTCACCAGATTAAAGGATATACAGGATTATATAGCAGAAGGTAATTGCAATTAACTAATATCTGGATGGCATTTAATACACATATTGTATTATTTCAATGAGATGAGACAGAATAATATTTACATTGCTATGAGCATTTTCTGTTTATAGAAATGGAATTTACAGTTCAGTAAGGTATGCAGGCATTATATCAAGAATGAGATGAGACCACTTAAAGTCTTGTGAATTATTGATATAAATTCATTTTGTTTTGTTTCATGCACCAGCGCTTCTTGCAGTGGCACCAGAAGAGCAGTGCAGTTTATAACAGGGGAAAAAAAGAAGAGGAAAGAGCAAATGTGAAATGGTGTAATTTATTCACAATTGCTTTGAAATTCTATCTGAATTGTCTCATTATTATTCACGCATTAGAGGAATGGTCCAAAACATGACAGCATGGGTAAACAGATGCAGAGCTTGGAAAATAGGTAATCTGACTGAAGTATTCATGGCCATTATTAAACAAATGTTATATTGCTTTTGGGTAAATCTGGTGATTTTATTTAATTTGACATTCTTTTCAAGATAGCAAGATAATACTGTTTGTTTCTAATGCTCTGAAATGAACAAAACAGGTGAAAATTGATGACACATGGAATTATAATGTTTCAACAGTAGCTGGTTAGTTAAACTTCTAGAGAGTTTCATGAAGAATCTGCATACACTTATTAATGGACTTTTACATACAATATCAATGCTTAGAGTGTAGCGGTCCTGTTAAAATCTGCTTTCACTGAGTCACTATGCAAGGAGAGATTGTTCTATAAAGAAAAATCTTGGATGAGTATTTGTTTGAGACTAAACAGTAAAACTGAAAGAAAATTCACAGATTTAGTATAGGAATGGTAGATAAGACTATGAAAGCTAGTATTTTGAAATTGCCTAAAACCTGCAATAAATTCTGCTGCCTACTGAAATTATTAAGCCAACAATAAACAGGAAGAATGGAATATCAAAACCTCATTGCATAGTGTGTCATCGTTCTTTAATGAGGCATTCCTTCAACCTTTTACCTCTTAACACCTTTGGTGATCTTACATTATGTACCTGTAAGATATTCAATGTTCTCTTTTAGAGATTAAGCCTATAGGAAGTATGAAATCTTAGGAATGTACTGTGTCAGGTAGTGATGCCAGAATTAAGCGTCAGAAAGCTTGGTTCAGGTTCAGAAGACGACTTTGAATGAATAGCTATAACTTCTACTAATTTATTTCAGAAGGGACTTCTCATATATACCCTCAAATATTTAAGACGCTTTGTACTATTTCTCAGGAATCCATATCTTCTCAAAGTGCTTTTTTGTTTTCACTTGAAGGCAGCATGGACTTAAAACAATACTGCAGGGAATGTACCGTTCCATAAAGCACATAAGGATGGCAGGATCCAGGAGACACAAGGCATAGAAAATTGTCGAAAATGATTAGATGGTACAACACATACTGCTCTTTGAGTCATAAGTTCCATTTATGGTGACTTCTACTTCCAATAGATAGGATATTAAAAAAGGCAATAAAAATGAAGTTACATGAATAAACTTCCAGAAATGAGTGGAGTTCCACCAGTGATCGTCTCTGCGCTGGTAGAGGTAGAAGAATGGGGATGTTATGAACAGGGCAGCAGTCACTACAACAAATGAGCCTCAATGCGGAGCCAGTGGAGTCCTTGGCGAACGTAACGAACCAGATTGGTCATACTGCTGTGTTGTGTTAAGGGTCCCATCACTGAGTCCAGGTCTACAAAGAATTCTGGAATACACAAGAAACAGAAGTCATTGTTTCAGGCAATAGTACAGAAATACATGTATCCATGACTTCCCACTCAGTAGCTGCAGTACAATTAGTAAGTTCTCAAGACATTGTGTACATAAGCACATGATCAGTAGGAAAGAATTTAAACAAAGGCAACAATACATTTAAACAGACCGAATTAGATTATCCATGCTGGAAGTCAACCACAACATAGTATGAGTGGTTGCCAATAGTTTTCGTTAGCTCTGATGATCTGCACTTTCAGTTTTCTGAGCCTAGGTTTGCTGATGGCATGATTTAAATAGCTGGCAATAAACTGTGGCGTTTCCTTTTCCATGCTGTACCCTCTCCTGGGCATGAAGAGCTAGTCTGGATCTTGCAGAAGACCTTGCTTGCTCTTTTCCCCACCCTCCAATTTCTGTTACTGTCATTGGAGCAGTTTTGGCCTTCTGCTCATCCTGCTGCAGCTGCAGGCCCCAGAGGATGTGTGTGGGGTGGGAGGGAATAAGGAAGAGGAGAGAGGGAACCCAGCAGAAAAATACCATCTAGGAGATGGGAAGCTATAAGGGGAAAGAAAAGATGGGTAAGGCCACTGGGATCAGGTGCTGGGAAGGGTTAACAGGAGGCCACTAAACAGGGCGCCACAGTTAGGAAGCATCACACCAGTTTACTTTATGCCATGTGTTAGGTGCTCTCTGGGTGAAAGACTAATGCTGTTAGGCCCAACAGACCTTTCCTAATTGCTTTCAAGGGAGAACTGGTTTGTGTCCTCTATTCTCCCACAGCTTGTCTTTCCGCTCACTAAGGTGCAGGCATTCCCACATACACAACACTTATGCTATATTTAGGTGAGTGGGAGCCCGCTCTCATTTAAAGTCCCTCAGAGCTCACATAACAACCAACAATCACACTAACGGGTGGCTGAGCCCTTACATTCTCACCCTATCTAAAATCCAGTGCGTGGCACTCAGCCAGCTAACACTGTATTGGCTGCAGTTCGGGAGAGCAGATGTGGGTACAAAATCATTATCAGTACTTTCTTCAGCAAGTAAGTGCTGCTTTGAGGTCTTCTATCCAAGTATTGACAGCCTGACCCTGGTCAGCTTGGGAGCTACAGCAGTATCACAGCACAAAGTGATTTGGCTGGAGGCAAGCATAATGAAAGCTTAGGGCTATCACCAGTTGCGTTAAGATGCTGCAGCCAGCAGTTACTTTTAATCTTCCTTCCTCTGTCTTTTATTCCCCTCCTCCAGTGTAAAATCAATACATTTAGAAGTGAAATAACACACTGCCTTGCTTCCATTCTGGAGATCTCATTCTAGGCTCAAATAAATAATAATTGCTGTTAACGCTGAGAATTTACCTTTAAAGCCTGATTTCAGTTTAACATTTCTTGAAAAAGCCACAAGCACTGAAGCCACTTACTAAAGAACAGGCCTTTGTCACTACAGACCTGATAGTTTTCTACTGTAGAGAAAAAGTGCTGCTAGCTTTGGAAGCTTAAAAAAATTATCTGATTTTGTAAAGTCAGCTGAGAGTTTGATGTTATAAATGGTGAACAACTCTCCAGGTGATCCAACACAAACCAGCCTTGTTTTGGGATTGGCTTTGGGAAGTCTGCAGTTTAGCCTGGCCTGCTATAGATGCAGAGTTTATTACAAACTCCATCTATTCTCCCACACCCTCTAAACTCTATCGACCAGAGGTATACGGCAGTATGTTCCCACTTTCCTTTTCAAACCAGATCAGCTTGGCAGGTCACAGTTCTGCTGTTCTCCCTCTTGCTATGCCTTTTTATTTCAATGGCACATCTTTTGTCAGGCTGACAAGAAAGGCTTCTGTCTCCTGCTCTGAGCCAGCTGGACATGAGTCAAGTCCAAACTGGGAGCGTGCAGGCATACTCAGAGGAGCACAAAACCTAAGCTGACAGCCGTGGACAAGGGGAGGCTGCGCAGCTCCTACAACATGGAAGAAATCTCTTGTGTCTGCATGGGCATGACCTAAGAAACATCTATGACAGCAGTAAGAACCAGAGCCAAAGGCTACTAGACATTACAATGATGGGACCACCTTTTTATACCCATCTCTATTAGCTCATCAGGGACACGTTCTCGGGCAAGATGTACCCTGTGGTTCAGAAGACAACAGACACAATGAGCGCTGACCACAAGGGAAAAAAAACCCCCAAACTAGTTACTGGATGTAATTTTTTCAAAAAGAAAATTCATTTTTATCTTAAATGTGGGTTTCTTGTGGCTTTGTGTTTGTTTGTTTTTTGAGACCATTTTTATTTCAAGGCAGGGGAAAAAAATCTCATTTTTTATGATGAACTGACTGCCCAAACCCCTGAGAGAGAAGCCAAGATATCTGTCTTTTACCTGGGACTCAAGGCAGAGTCTGGGCTTTGCACCTATCCCGTTTGCTGTCATGGGGCATTTCTGAACTCACAGTCCACACACCAGCGTACCAGAGCTTGGGCACTGGAACAGCCAGTCCAGCTGGCAAAGGTGGATTAGAGATAGCTATGGGGAAAGGGATGAGTCCTGTCCCAGACAGCAAGATATAGCTGTTTTGAATTATTTGAGAGATGCAGATGACATCTACTAAAATAATTACAGCTAGGTTTCATGAAACACTAACATTTCTCACATCGAAGTGTCTTAAATATATCCTTCTGTAAATGGAACCTGTCATGTGATATGATGAAGACCTGCAGAGTACCACAGCAGTCCTTATACACTTTTTTGTTACACCATGCATTTTTCAAATTGCAGTTTAATTGTGTGTAAGCATGCAACTTTAAATCAAGTATTTAATTAGAAATGAGGTATCTTTCCAGATGAAATGTAAAGACAGACATGCTATAGCATGTATGAAACTCTGATCTCTCTCCAATGGTTTATAATACTTAAATGAAATTTGAAGTAACACGAACTTTCCATTCCCTGTAACATGGCTGCAGTTTGTGAAACAAGATATGAAAGAACAGGGCACAACCCTAGATGTCTTGCTCATGTGAGAAACCCTTGTTCATGCATCCAGTCCCACAGAAGTCAAAGCGACTGCTCATCTGAATAAAGATTACTCCTATATGGCTTTGCAGAATTGGGTTGGTTTGATCGTAAATCAAAATGAGAACAAAGAGGAGCGTAGGGGGGGAAAATGCAGAGAGAGAGTCAGCAGGTTTTTTTCTCATCCAGCTCTAGGACTGATAACAGCAGTGGCTGGGTACATTTTCTGTCTGCTGGCTGAATGCCTGAGCTATTTTGATTCAATACCAAGTAGAACATTTAACAACTCCACAACACACAGGGCTAATTACAAGATTATCGCCATCTCTTTCTCCTATCAGAGCATCCTTCTGCATTCCCACTGTAACATTCTGCAGTACATTTGACAGGGAATCACTTTCACATTTTGTGAAAATGGATGCAGCTATGGAAAAAATCCAAAATGACTGCACTGCTACTAAATTAACCAAAGCGAACAAAGGCAAGAAGCAGTGGGGAGGACTGGACAGAACTTCTATTATTGTTCCTCATCCAGGGATAGATCATTATGACCCACCATTCAGACATAAAACTCTATAAATCTCAAGCTTAGTTTCTCTAAATCAGTGGAAATTTGCCACTGACATTAATGGGAGTAAGATCAAACTGCATACAGTGAGCACATTTGTCAGGAAAAGTCAGCCATCTAAAATCTCAGTATAATTTAAGAGAATGAGCCAATTCATGATGAGAATATTTCCCAGTTAGGCTGTACACCTCTAGTGTCAAAGAAAGCTTTGTCAATGATTTGTGCAAGCCCAAAGCTGGAATCTGAATAATTACATTATCATAGGAAGTTCACAGCTGGCCAACAATAGGCCAGATTTGTCCTTTAGTTACATCTCAGCCACTCCACTATACTCAATATAACCCAGTCACGAACTGCTTGCCAGAACTCCTTTGAAATGACTGTGGTAAAGACTTACATTTTGTTGTTAGGAATAAACAAGCAGATTTGCAATCCAACCATAGGAGAGTCAAGGTCATGGCTTTCAGTGGACATCTCCTAATCGGACTCCCTGCATAAACATAACATCTAATGTTTCCTTATTATCCTAGCTGGCATTTTAATAGTCTTAAACCCGTTGACAGAGCAGTCTGAAAATAACCTCGGTGCTCTATGAGAAGCTGAAACTGTGAACGAATTTGCAGACTCAAAAGCTCTCATCACTTGGGGCTCATGTTCGCTAAATTATTTGCCAGCTGCTCTGGTAACCCCATGTTCAGCGTGTGTTACACATCCCCCCTCTGTGCTTGACAAGAGAAGACACACGTTGGCTACAGTGACCAGCAAGCAGATTTGGTCTGTTTGCTCAAGCTGTCACAGTTGTGCTCTTAGATGCGGTGGTTCTGGGTCCAATTCCCAACAACGCCTACGAGAACAGAAAGCAAGCTAAAGCTGATGAGCCAAAGGGGACAAAGAAGAAGCCGAGTGGGGCACCTTTGTTCTCCTTAGTCAGCTTGTCAGCCATGTCCCAATGCTCGTAGCTCCGCAGGACGTTGTTGGTGATGTTGACGTGGCTGGCAGCCATGTGGTGGATGCGCTGAGGGATGGTGATGGTCCCCGCTGAGGAGGAGCCGGCGGTGCCCGCGCTGCTTCCAGCAGAGCTGACGGGGGACGGGCTCAGGGACATGGGCGATGGTGTTTCTGTGCTCCTGCGAGAGGAAAAGGGAGAGTGAGTCCCCCTCACACACACCACTTCATTGCCCTCCTAAATGCACTTGAAAAATTAACTCTGCACCCCAGTCAGGGGAGAATGAGCAGTAGTATCTCCTGGTTTTATGAGAAAGGAGAGCTTATAAACTGGGAATGACTGAAAATAAAAAGGGTTTTAATTCTCCCTATAAATGAACTGTTATTTAAAAAAAAAAATCTATCATAAAAATAGAGCAATCTTTCAGAGAAAGAAGTATCTCATAGCTGTAATGATTTTTCTACCTGCTGCCAGAAGCTGCAATGGCAGTTAGAAAACACTCAATGTGCAATATTGGCTTATTATCAAAGCATTTTGTGGCAACCACAATGACAGTTTGCTCCAAATACAGTCACCACAATAAGTAAAGTGCAAGTCTTAAAAGCACCCTGCAGAGCAGTATTAGGAGCTGAGGGTACTGTAGGATTATGAATATCTCTATAGGATTCTTTAAGACTGGCTATGGAGATTTGTTCTTAATTGCCTACAGTTCATCCACACAGTTTTGTACAGAGCAGTGTTTTAAGTTACCTACTTAGTGCAGCACTACTGTTCTAATATAGATTTTCCTTTAATTCTAACACCAGCAATTAGGAATTACCTGCTGGCTGCAGGCAGTGTGGAGGTCAGCACAGCAAGCTCATGTTTAGAGCTGTGCAACGCTGAATGCTCACATACAGATATTCTCTTTGAAAATTTATAGAATCATAGAATCCTTTAGGTTGGAAAAGACCTTTAAGATTGAGTCCAATCATTAACCTAGCACTGCCAAGTCCACCACTAAACCACGTCCCCAAGTGCCACATCTACATGTCTTTTAAATACCTCCAGGAATGGTGAATCAACTACTTCCCTGGGCAGTCTGTTCCAGGGCTTGATAACCCTTTTGGTGAAGAAGTTTTTCCTAATACCCAAATAAACCTCCCCTGGCACAACTTGAGGCTGTTTCCTCTCATCCTATCACTAGTTACTTGATAGAAGAGACCAGCACCCACCTCACTACAACCTCCTTTCAGGTAGTTGTAGAGAGCGATAAGGTCTCACCTCAGCCTCCTTTTCTCCAGGCTAAACAGCCCCAGTTCCCTCAGCCGCTCCTCATAAGACTTGTGCTCCAGACCCTTCACCAGCTTTGTTGCCCTTCTCTGGACACACTCCAGCTCCTCAATGTCTTTCCTGTAGTGAGGGGCCCAAACTGAACACAGTATTTGAGGTGCAGGCTCACCAGTGTTGAGTACAGAGGGACAATCACTTCCCTGCTCCTGCTGGCCACACTATTTCTGATACAAGCCAGGATGCTGTTGACCTTCTTGGCCACCTGGGCACACTGCTGGCTCATATTCAGCTGGCTGTTTACCAATACCCCCAGAGCCTTTCTGGCTGGGCAGCTTTCCAACCACTCTTCCCCAAGCCTGTAGTGCTGCATGGGGTTGTTGTGACCCAAGTGCAGGACCTGGCACTTGGCCTTGTTGAACCTCATACAGTTGGCCTCAGCCCATTGATCCAGCCTGTCCAGATCCCTCTGTAGAGCCTTCCTACCCTCCAGCAGATCAACACTCCCCCCTAACTTGGTGTCGTCTGCAAACTTACTGAGGGTGCACTTGATCCCCTCATCCAGATCATTGATAAGGGTACTAAACAGAACTGGCCCCAATACCGAGCCCTGGGGAACACCACTTGTGACCGGCCACCAACTGGATTTAACTCCATTCACCACAACTCTTTGGCCAGGTTTTTACCCAGCGAAGAGTACGCCTGTCCAAGCCATGAGCAGCCAGTTTCCCAGGAGAATACTGTGGGAAATGGTGTCAAAGGTTGTACTAGAGTCTAGATAGACAACATCCACAGCCTTTCCCTCATCTACTAAGCAGGTCACCTTGTCATAGAAGGAGATCAGGTTAGTCAAGCAGGACCTGCCTTTCACAAACCCATGCTGGCTGGGCCTGATCACCTGGTTTCCCTCTACGTGCCACGTGACGGCACTCAAGATGATCTGCTCCATAACCTTCCCCAGCACCAGGGTCAGGCTGACAGGCCTGTAGTTCCCTGGATCCTCCTTCTGTCCCTTTTTGTAGATGGGCGTCACATTCGCTAACTTCCAGTCAACTGGGATCTCCCCAGTTAGCCAGGACTGCTGATAAATGGTGGAAAGTGGCTTGGTGAGCACTTCTGCCAGCTCCCTCAGTACCCTTGGGTGGATCCCATCTGGCCCCATAGTCTAGTGTATGTCTAAGTGGTTTAGCAGGTCGCTAACCATTTCCCCTTGGATTACGGGGGGCTTCATTCTGCTCCCCATCCCTGTCTTTCAGCACAGGGGGTGGGTACCTGGAGAACAACTGGTCTTACTATTAAGGACTCAAGCAAAGAAGGTGTTAAGTACCTCAACCTTTTCCTCAGCCATTGTCACTACGTTTCGCCCCCTGCATCCAATAAAGGGTGGAGATTCTCCTCAGCCTTCCTTTTGTTGCTAATGTATTTATAGAAACATTTTCTATTATCTTTTATGGCAGTAGCCAGATTAAGTTCCAGTTGGGCTTTGGCCCTTCTGATTTCCTCCCCGCATAACCTCATGATATCTCTGTAGTCCTCCTGAGTTGCCTGCCCCTTCTTCCAAAGGTCAAAAACTCTCCTTTTTTTCCTGAGATCCAGCCAAAGCTCTCTGTTCAGCCAGGCTGGTTTTCTTCCCTGCCGGCTTGTCTTTTGGCACATGGGGACGGCCTGCTCCTGTGCCTTTAAGATTTCCTTCTTGAAGAATGTCCAGCTTTTCTGGACTCCTTTGCCCTTCAGGACTGCCTCCCAAAGGACTCTGTCAGCTGGGCTCCTAAATAGGCCAATGTCTGCCCTCCAGAAGACCAAGGTAGCAGTTCTGCTGACCCCCCTCCTTACTTCTCCAAGAATCAAAAACTCTATCGTTTTGTGATTGCTATGCCCAAGAGGGCCTCCAACCACCCCATCACCCACAAGTCCTTCTCTGTTCACAAACAACAGCTCCAGCGGGGTGCCTTCCCTAGTTGGCTGACTCACCAGCTGTGTCAGGAAGTTCTTCCACACACTCCAGGAACCTCCGAGACTGTTTCCTCTCTGCTGTATTGTATTTCCAGCTGACATCTGATAAGTGGAAGTCCCCCATGAGAACAAGGGCTAGCATTTGTGAGACTTCTCCCAGCTGCTTATAGAATATTTCGTCTGCCTCTTCATCCTGGTTGGGTGGTCTATAACAGACTCCCACCATGATACCTGCCTTGTTGGCCTTCCCCCTGATTCTTACCCATTAACACTCAACCCTTTCATCACCATCGCTGAACTCTGGACAATCAAAACACTCCCTAACATACAGGGCTACACTACTGCCTCTCCTTCCCTGCCTATACCTTCTGAAGAGTTTATAGGCATCCATTGCAGCACTCCGGTTGTGTGAGTCATCCCACCATGTTTCCATGATGAAATTGTTTCAGTCAACAAGATTAAGGGTTCCAAAAATCTCTTCTCTTGCCCCCATTTGGAACCACTTACCTAAACAAACGCATTCGATTTGCTGTGGAATACACTTGAAACACAGGGCTGAAATGTTCCTGGCACTCTCTGCATGAAGCAAAGACACCAAAACTCTCCGGACTGGGATGTTGCAACCCGTTCCCTGACAGGCGGCCACTGATGTCTCATGCTGTGCAACAGCATCAAGCTCACTCAGTCTCATTATGGGCCTGATCCAAACCCCAGGAGAGAAAGGCTCCTCCTCTTGGCTTTATAAGCCACCGTCAGTGGTCCCGAACATGAAGCGTGGGCACAGACCTGCTGTGCTGACACCTTGCAGGTGCTGTGAGACGGACTACCACCACGGCACAGCCTTGGGCTGAAAGGCATTTATGGCAACAGCTTTTGCTGCAGATTTTCCAGCAGTGCCCTGCTATTACCTGTGCTCAACAACAGGCTCCTGTGATACATTCTTTTTCCAGAGCTAGAGACCACGTTAATTCAGCAGCTAGTAGCTTTTTACACAGCTTATGTGTTATAGTTTAAGCATATCCTACGGCACAAATGTTTTATTTTTAAGTCTCAAAACATCCTGGTTACTTGACACGCCACAGTGTCTTTAATGCACAGAAGAGCTGAACTATACTAGATTAGGTCTGGGAGCAGTTAAGAATCATAAGTATCTGAGGAGACCAGGAGTATTTTGTTAGAGCCACTTACAACAAGCTGACGCACTTCTGCCAAATAAAGCACATTGTTCATTGGATTTACCCTGTTGTGCACAGCCATTATTACTGTGGTGAGTCTATTAAATCTCTCTATTTTGTGCTTTCTGTCGCTAGAGGTGGGAAACATTTCTGTAATGAAACCAGGGAAAATTTGTTTCATTGCCAGCCTGGAACTCAGGCCAACTTTGTAGAGGTTCACAGCCCTTTCAAACAAAAGTGGCCAGAAATTCCAGTAAGCCAAGCTGAGATTTTTGATGGTTTGAGATCCTGAGCAGACTACACTTCATGGCAATGGATAAGTTTTTGCTTTGTGATTTAAGAATACCCTGCTGTCTCCCCATTCTGAACAAGGCTGCTGATCCATCTCCAGTGGTGCCATACCCTGATGGTGTTTGGTCTCTCCTCTGTGGTGTGCAACTTCTCTTCCCAGCTGGTACAGATTTGCAGGGGAATAAGAGGAAACTGTAGAGCATGTAGCCCTGGGGAAGGCAGAGCATGTTCTGACAGTGGCAGCACCAGGCCCGAGACAGTCTTCGGGGCCACCAGGAGACACCTGAGATATACGGCAACTCTGAGCCAGCTGGAGGGCTTTTCTTCTAAGACTCCAGACAGAGGGGACAGAAGACCTGAGTGTGGACTGTGGACCTTGTGTGCTGGGTCATAGGTGTCATAATAACACCCTTATAACAAGGCCTTGTCACATTCAGTTATTCTTACATGTCAAGTGCTTCCTTCTCTGAATAAAAGACAGAGATGTGCACTTTCAGAGCTTTACTTCCTTATCTCCAAAGTTAGTGGGAAGAGACTGATCAGCTGGGTGTTATGTTAGAAGTGATGCTGACCTGAATGCTGGGTTTCTGCTGCCTACCTTGTGGCCAGGCAAGAATTTTCTCCTCCAGTCAAAACCCACTGATTCTAAATCCTGGGCACCTAATCAGTTCCTTTAAATAGCAAGGGAGATGTCATCACCTGCAGAGCACACACTTCATAGGGGTCTATTATAGGACAGGAATAAAAGGATAACTTCCGCTTCATGAAATTTTTAGGTATAAGCCACTTCTTAAGGAACAAGAGAGGTGTAATGCTCCAGTAGTCTATTTCGGCACTAAAACTTTATGTAAACCTTACTGTATTTTTATTGCAATACAAGGTTTCACTGACATTTAAATACCTTGAAAAGCTGGCACATATTGAATAATTTAATTTAGTAGTTGCTTTTCCAGTGTTAAAATATCTTTTTAGGTTTTATATAAAGTGATTTAATATTTCATCACTTTAGTTTGTGTTATAATCTATACTTAATTACCTATACACACACAAACATATTCAAAATAATTTTGTATATTTGGTGTGTGTGTGTAATATATACACCCCAAAATATTTTGAATTATCTAAGATGATATTTTCCTTTAAGCACAATGTTGGAATTTTTGGTTTTGCACTGATTCAGAACAAAGCCTGTTTGAAAACTTCAATTCATTGTGTGCTAAACTTCAACCCCTTCTACAGTTTTATTACTTTGTTTCCTTGGAGTGTCTAATAGTAATTTCTTCTTATGAACCACCAGAAAGAGACCATTAACAATAATCATTTTCACCTAGAATTCAGCCTACTCAAATAAAGAAGGAAGGAAAGGTAAAATCCTCTTTTATTCTACCTGTATCTATACGCGTGGCCAGGAGAAAGGAGCAGGAGAAATACGTGTCACGTGGCAATAGACATTGCAAGATAAAGGCAAGTTTGCAGCAGCAATGCACCTTCATTGAACAGCAGATCATAACTGCATTACCCTGACTTCATATCTGAGGCAAGGGTGTTTTAACGTTAGTACAAAGCCACTGATAATTGGTTGACTAAGTGCCTTCACATTTTCACCACTATTACGCCTTCAGTTTTATTAAACAGCACTTACCATATATCAATGAAATATTCATTGGTCTTTCATTACTGAACGAATCATTGAAAAATCATTGCAATGAAGGTTAACTTTAGTTTGGCTTCCTGAAATGACACGGTACTTGCTAGCTAATTAACAGATATCTTTATGGCCTTCATTTGGCTTGAGAAGCAAACTGTCAAAGAATTCAGCACAGACCCACCACGGGTGATTTTAGACTTAAGAGGGATTTGCACAAAGATGAAGGTGTGTTTCAGTTCTTCCTTCCCACCCACACTGGATGGCTCACACGGGTACCTGATTTAGCCCCCTGGGATCCCCTCAGCCCCACAAGCCCAAGGCAGCTGTAAGATCAATTTTGTAGCCCAGAAGAACATTTTCTATCTGCTGCATATTTGAAACATACCTGTAGCTCCCAAACCACTGAGTCATGGCCTGTCCTTTGCCTTTAGAGGCACCAAAACATTTCCCCCCCTCTTGGAACCACTTGTTCTCAGACAGAAGTACTCAGCAGAAAATACTCACTTTCCATTGCCGCCCCAAGGTGAGGGGGCCTGTGAGGCTTTTGAAGAGTTCTGTAAGCACAAAACCAAAATGTAAATAAAGGTGATGCAAGTACATGAATAGTGATGACAGAAGGCTCAAGGCTACCTGTTTTCGTTGCAAGAGCTACAGTGCATGTAGCAGAACAGCTCTGCACATCAGTCCCGTAATTAAACGGCTGGTGGATGATTGGTGGGTTCCAACCAGCAACTTGAAAGTCACTTGATGAAAGAGGGAATATAGTAAAGTTCCAGTAAAAGCAGATGTAGTTCACAAAGACGTGGTTTAATTACCACTGAAAATTATTCTATAAAGTTCGTTCTTCAGAGTGCAAATGACCTCTTATCTTTACGGGGACCTGCAGTCTTTTAATAAGAAACAAAAAGAATCTGGGTTGATGCCTTACTGAAATTAGTCCCTCCCAAGTTGCTAGGGAAGGTGGATTGGGATTCAGATAGTAGTAGAAATAAAACTTCTAGTAAGGATCTGCTTGATTGCCCTTGTTTTTATGTATTTGATTTGCACAAATTGCCTTTCCTTACCCCCTTATTCATTCTGCCTTTCATGTCTGTGCAGCACCTTGTACAGCCCTGTACAAAAAGATTGCCCAGCAACAATAAAGCCAGATTTTTCCAGTCTTGCTCAGACTGGGTGGTATCTTATTAATTCCCATAAGAAGTGGTAGTATCAGGGCTGAAGTTATCTATGTGTGCTTTCTGAAAACAATCACTCTGAGCTCCCTTGCAAAGAAGTCAGCATGCACAGTGAAAATTCAATCAAATTTTACAAGTTCTCTGCAAAGTATTACCATCATTATGACAAGATTATTCTGGTTACTGTAATCGCTATTTTGCATGTGAGGCACAGAGATTCAGTGGAGCGCAGAGCAGCCCTGGGCATGGCCCAAGGTCACACAGCTGACTGTGGGAGCAAAATCCTACCCTTGACTTCTAAACCACAGCTAAACTTGCCAAACAGTATCGACCAAAGCAGAAAACACTGCCCAAACCATGGTATTGGCCTTGCCTATATGTTCCTATACAGCATGCCACTGTGTTTCATTAAAGATGTGAGCATGAAGTGAGTGTTTTGCAGTACAGAACATATGTAGTGTATATTTTTGCCTCCCACTTGTATGTAAGAAGGAGGGAGATCCTACACTCCCCTGGAAAGTGTTCAGGGATGAAGAAGCAGCTTTGATGTTAGTTTCTATTGTCTGGGGATTGTTCCCAACAGTATCTGGAGACAAATACTAGATCTGTCAAGATTAAGACTAGACCTCAACTGGAGGTAGTTATTTGACAATGAAAATATTTGAAATATTTTTGCCAATGACTACTGACAACATATTTTCAAAAACATAAAAATCTTCCTCAAACTTCTAGAGGAAATGCAGCAAAGGATGCCACTTCTGCTAACCTTAAAAAGTTTGATTTCAATTTTACAAATTTATCATTTTAATTATATTTTACATCAAGTTGTCTCTAAATTTCAAAACTACTTTTATGATTAAATGGTTATTTTCTGTTTTGAAATGTCAAAAATATAAATTTGAAACTTTTAATTGGAAATTAATCAGAACCAGTTCTGTCCACAAATGGTTTCAATTTGGACAAAGTGGCATTTGTGAGGAAAAATATGAAAAACAATTCTGCCAAAAAATTCCTCTCAGTTCTGCTGTAAACAGTGGGCTGCTTTTCGCAGTTAAAATTGTGCAAAATTTTGAATAACAACTCTATTCAAGTAGTTAGTCTTTTTCATTTGTATTACAGATTCTCGCCTGTGAACACAGAGAACATTGTGCAGCAATACAAAACTAATACGTAGTTAATAGTTCCCATTCTTTTCTTTTCTCCTCCTATGCCTTTACTACAAAAAGATCCTGAACATATAATCTGTAGACACTCAATCGCTACTTCTAGCAAATGAGTTACAGTGCCCACAGCATACACACAGTAACACTAGCTGAAATACTCAGCTTCAACTGGATGCCTAAAACCAGCATTCCTCATTTGTCTATTTTATTACATTTTAATTTTTTTTCCCTTATTTTAATTTACATTAAAAGTCATTTTCTCTGTGCAGATGCAGGAAAATGGTCTTATGCTAGGAGTAGTAATATGTTCTTCATTGTACCTATTTGAACAGCTACAGAAAGTAAAGTGGCTTTAAGGGAAGAGAGAATCCCCCCCATCACATTTGGGTTTTTTTTGTTGTTCTTTTTTTAAGAAATCATTACTTTCTGCAGAAAAAGTTTATCAAATGATTTGTCAATAACCTTTTTTTAAGAGACAATCTACATCATCCTGGATAAAATCTGAAGTGGATGGAATACATTTCATGAAAATGCTGAGGCTATAAATGTGTGTAGTTCAAATTTAATTTGTTGTGCAAATCCCTGACTGAAAACTCCATGAGTACAACAGAGGCACTCCTGATGACTTCAAGGGAGCCTCAATTTAAGCAGATCAGGAGTAACATTACTGAAGTTATAGAGATACACGCACACACTCAGAGGACACCAGGGAAGTCAGGACTAAGTGGTGGTTGCTAGCATGACAGTATTGGAGTTTTCCAGCAGAAGGACCATTTTATCACCATTTACATGAAAATATTAAAACTGCAGTGTTAAAAGTTTTACTGGTTTGCAGTACTAATATGTCAAAGCCTGGAACAAATTCAGAGAGGCTGAAAAAAAACGACAAAAAAAGACTGATGGGCTGACAAACCACTATAATTACATAATTATAGAATAATACATAGTAATAAAGTACAAGAATGAATGCATGCTTCAAACAACATCAACCAGTAAAATATAAATATCAAAACCTTGGCAGAGCTGAAGAAAGATTCTGTTTCTCTCTTAATTTAGGAATGGTGAGGACTTGTCATTCTTATACTGGGTAAACAGTGTTTGACAAGGTAAAGGAAAACATCACCGAGTCATGACAATGGTAAAGGCAAACTTTCAAGATGTAGATAAGGAAATTTGAAGTTCCACAGAAATAAAAGGAGAAATCTCTGAGTCTGCAATAAGCTTCAGCAAATCTCAGAGAATTTAAAATCTAAATTTAACTAACTAAAGCCTAAATAATTGTTTTATTATGGTTCACTGGGGGTCAGTTCATAATCACTTGCCCCTTGAAATCTTGAAAGAATCAGTTTCCTTTACAGAAACTTGCATAAACATTACATGGTGTTGAGAATAATGTTATTTTAGTAGAATTACTGAGTATGGTCCTTTGAATCAAGTGACTAATCCAAAAATCCCCCAAATCACTTCTGTCCCTAGTCCCTGGCAGCCATCCTGCCTGCATTTCCCAGGGGAGAGGTTAAATGTGGGACTTTTAAGTCACGCAGTTATACTTGTGAGAGCTCTCAGTGCTGGTATGAATTTCATTTCATATCTATAAATTAAATAGAATAAAGATTACCTTAAAATATTCCATCAGAGATCTGGAGTACTTCATAGCATGGTCCTTCTTTAGTTTAAACATTCTCAAGTAGAGAAGTGATAAGCATCGGTAGCTGTGGTAATTAGGAAAAGATTATGTTAATTCCATTGCTTAATGAAACCTATAAACTGTAAAAAAAAAAGAAGAAGCTGACCTATATTTTGCAGTTTCTGTTCTAAGGTTAGATTTCAAAACATAAGCAAACGGAGTAAGAAAAAAAGTGGTCAAAAGCATTAAAATCCCATCTTGATAAGAGTATAAATTAGAAGAATAAATGTTTAGTCAGCTGCTGAAGAAATCCATTAGTTATCCTTTAATAGTTTAATGGAAAACAAGAATAATGATCTTCTGTAAGCTGCTTAAGTAATTCAGTACTTTTAAAGTCCTCCTTAAGATTTTAGCTGCCTCTCTCATTGTCGCAATGGGACTTACCATAAAACTGCTAATTTCTTGTCCCCTTCCGTGGCAGAAGAGCCTGTGAAATTCTTGAGTCTCATTGCATACCTTGTCAAAAAGGTGAGGAGAGAAGAAATTGAGAGTTAAGATGTTTCCAGGAATACTAGTGACACTCTGAAAAATAACAGCCATACAGAGATAATCTTCTCCAACTGCAACAGTTAATGGTCACATTGTTCTGTAACGATGAGATCAACGTAAAATTCAACAGAAAGCACCACTTAAAATCTGGAGGGCTAAAGTAAATCACCAACCCATTTTCTGGGCCAACGACGTGAACTATTCTTGAGCACATTAATGATATAATATCCAGCCATCTAGGCTGAGTCCTGCAAACATTTGTGATGAGTGTTGGACAGAAGCATAAGATCTTGGCCTTATATGTACTGAAGAGTAGAGTAATATATACTAAAGTTTTACATGTAATACTTTGGGCTTGAATAATACCTTCAAAATCCTTCTCATAAATGCTTCTTCAAAGCTTTTAATATATTTTATATAGAAAACAGTTTTAAATACAGGAAAGGTCATGTTCACAGCTTTTTAAATTCTTGGGTCTATTAATTTAGGAGTCTTGTGTACTTGGTCTTCCCTCTCTATTTAATTGCTGCTGTCCAGCATTTGGGTGATCAAAGATTGAGTATTCCTACCTCCTCTCTCATTTTTTTTTTCTTTAACTGAGCACACTCCATTCCATGCATTTAGTCTCTTGAAAATCAATTCCTCGCATAAAATCATTGTTCTGAGCCCTAATGCAATTTCACAGGTACTTGTGTTAGAATAAGTAATAGGGTTCAGCGTTGCGTAAGAAAGTTTTAAGGTATCCAGGCAGTCTTGATGAGTTCTCATTTACAAGGAGGTAATGGAGTGCAGGCAGGCAGTGCTGCTGTCACTCTGCCTTCCTCCCACCACCCCCATCATCAGCCCCCAGCTTGCAGCTGTAGCACACCACCTGATGTGCTTCCTTCACGTCCTATCTCACCTGCTCTTTGGTATTGTTGTTCCAGTCATACTGAATGAGTCTGATCAAACAGGAAGATACATGTCTCTCTGGGATTTTCAGTGTTATGTTAGGGATTTTAGCATTACCATTAACTTAAAACACCTTTGACAGTCAGATCTCCGATATTCCCAGTCTCTTTGATGCTCCGCTTGCTTTCACAAACAGGTGTCTGATGCAGATACTCAGGGCAGACACAAGCTAATGCAAAAGGGGAAAATGGTGCCTCTGATGAAGGGAGGAGCAAAAGTGAGAAAGATCTAAAAATCTCCTCCTATTTCTCATCTCACAGTAAAAATCTAAGTTAACGTTATGAGCCACATTGAGAAAGTGTGTGTGCACAGCCACATACTTGGTTTGTACATTCAGCACCCGCTGTAGCCCACAAGATTTGTGTATTTGTCCAGGGAGTTTATTGAACCTGTACCAGCCTGCTGCTCACCTGGGCAGTCACCTTTTTTTCCATGTCTGACCACTGACAGCAATTAAATGGGCAAATCAGTCTCTCACTGGCTGCCTACAAGATGCTGCATACAAGAGTTGGTAAGTTAAGTTCCACCTTTGATGGCAGGTGGGGCAATTAATCTCACCTAACTTTAGCTATTTAGAAACCAGAGATCTACTATAACAAAGTCCTCCAGATTCTTCCATAGCCAAAAGCAGTTCAAAAAGCAATCCAAAAGCAGTTCCAGTGCTGCTTCCACGCCAAGGTCTATCTGTCCTGTAGCCTGCAGCAGGACTGTGCTGATACAGGAGCTGCTGGGAAGAGCGAGGCAGCGGGGCTGCCTACGCTGATGGGTGCCGGTTGCTCCAAGGTGCAGCCGCATGCTCAGTTGACTCCATCCAGCACCAGCAGTGGAGGGTGGAGGGGAGTTGCAGGTTATCACCCATTTGTGAGCTACTCCTAGAGCTGCCACTCTCTGAGTTAAGTGGGGCGTGTGTTGTGACTCTTGAATGAACAAAGATTGTTGGTCCATTCGCTTCTGAACAGACAGACTGCTGGACTGAGGAACAACATTTTCAACAGTGCCGTGTGGATTTCTTAAAAAAGAAAAATAAACGCAGGCTCCTATGAAGAAGCGCTTACTTCTTTAAAGAATATTTCTTTAAATACAATTTATCCTGCCATACAACTGTAGCTGTGTAGTTCAGGACACAAAGTACCGAACTGCCCAGAGTGCAGGAATTGTTTCAGCACAGTGAGCAGGGGTAGGCGGCTCCTTAAGTTCCCTGCTCTCAAGCGTTTAACTTGGATCCTAAGTGTTGAGTGAACATCATTTTTTTGTTGAGTAATCTCTTTAGATTTTCTTCTCTTTATGAAGTGTAGAATGTAAAACCATGTTTTTAAATATTTAGCAGGCATATTATTTACCTGAGAGTAAAAGCTTCTTAAGATTTGATACATTTTATTATGTAAATACCTACTTATTCAAAATGTAAAACATGCACTATTTTTGGCAGTCTCTACTAGCTAGTCATCTGGCATGTTAAAATCCTGCACGTTAAAAAAACACCTTTGTCATATTAAACCCCAAACATTTAAGGCCTGATTTGCCTCCTTTTCTTTCTCTTGTGTAAACTGCCAGTAATTACACTGACATTAATGGTGATATTCCCAGCATACACTGGGGAAAGCAAAGGTGCATCACAGTGAAGAGGAAAAATCCTGGTGTTCTACTTATAGGTAAATTTAATCCTGCTTGATTTCACTTTGATAATTTGTGCAAATAAAGCAAACAAGCCCCTAGTTACTCAGGAGACCATTATTTCTACGGAGCCAACACTATGAAACAGCTATAAGGAACAGTAGCAGATTTTAAATTAATAGTTCAGGCATTTTATTAGTAAGTAAAGGAGCTCTCATCCATGTTGTAGCCCATGAGTCTACAAAACTGTATTAAAACTAATTCAGCTGGTTCACATTCCTTTAACATTAAAAAATGTACTTTTTTATACAATACATGCGGAAAGCTTCCTCTCTGGCTATGATCTTATGAGCCTCTTTTTTTTTTTTTTTAACAGCCAAGTTATAAACGTCTAAAAACAGGGTTTGTAATAGAAATCCTGATAGACTCACTTTAATGTTTTGAATTATAAAACTACACCTTTTAAAAGACAAGTGTCATTGCCAAACAGTGAAATTACTATACTTTACTTCCACCCACTACATTTCAATTTTAATTTTATGAATATTGCAAATTATAACACTCACATTATAACCTCTAAAGGGGATAATTTATAAAAGCAGTGTCCATCAATTATAAATTTTCCATGACATTAATAAAATGGCAAGAGCTAATTATGATGACTTCTGAGATGAAGATGCCTTGGACAAATCATTAATACGTTGAAATGGTATTTTTTAAAACATAGCAGGTTCTAATTATGACTGAAATGAGATTATGAAAATGATCACAGAAAGGACATTAACCTGATGAGTTCCACAGTCTCTGAGTACATGGTGTATGGAGATTTAGCTTCTAATGGATCTCGCTCCATAGCATTTCCGCACTCGATGAAGGAGAGGGCAGCATCAGCATAATTCACTGCTTTGCCAAACTTCTCCAGCTGAAATGGGAATGACACCATCAAGAAAATCCTTCAGCTTTAATTTCTAGGTAGACAGATCATAATACAAAGCAACACTAGCATTAGGATAAAAGTAAAGTGATGCTGGTAGTTAAGAATGAATTCATTCAGTTATTAAGGCAGGGTCTATGTTTTTACCAAATCTTTTCAGGCAGTATATGGCCAGACGCTCCACAGAGGAAAGTCAATGCATGTCCATTGACATGCATGGATTTACCCAGGCAATGAGGGACACTAAGCATGTTTGAACAAATCCATATTGCTCCTTGATATATGAACTAAGTTTGAATGTCACTATGCAAGGGTTAAGTAACAACTCCATGCCATTTGTCAGATGTCACATTCTGTGCTAACTGTTGACCAAAAAAAAAATCTCATCACTTATGTGATGACTGAAAGAGTAGGAAAAAAAAAGGAGAAAATATAGCACTGCTAAATATTTTATTTTACTAGGATTTTATTGCAAAAGGTTTTAGCCCTCATAATGGTTGTGATTAAACTGACTTAGACATACTGATTTCTTTTTTTATGTGTAATGAATATTATATATGACATTTTTATAGTAAGTATTTTATAATAGTATTTAACATTTTCAATTTTTGATAGCTGGATGTAAGAATTCTACTAATGTGGCATTTGATATAAGAGATCCAATATACTTTAAATAATTTAAAAATTTCTTTGTATGTCTCTATCAAAATATTTTTGATGCATCTGCGTATGTTTTCCATTCACAAAATGGAAGCCTATCCTAGCAACATATTAAGCAGAACATTTAGTATTGGTCCAAGGTGACAGTTACTTGCCTTTGTGGCTACTTCTAAGCAATCCTTGTAACTAGTTCCCTCTGCATACTTTTGATTTCAAGTTCTGCTCTTGTGCATTGATTATGTACAAAGCCTGTGTATAATTGATAGGTATTACCTGAATGATCACAAAAGGGAAAATATTTCTAAATGTTTTCTCTCTATTCCAATGGCCACTTCTCAGCATATTCTTCAAATTCTTTGCTTCAAGACTTCCACAGATGACTTTTTGTGGTATAAAAAAAAAAGGAATCTGGCTGCAAGCAGATTTAGTACAGACACACAGTTTGAGCCAGAAATGGGATCCGATCCTGCCCTTTGCTCCACACGGACTCTAGTGGAGCAGGTGGAATTACTCCAGCTCATCACAGCTCAGCCGAGAAGAGAGCGAGGTCTCCAAGATCTCTTCTGTATGGTACCGTCAGTTGCCACTGCAGCAGCGCACCCAAATCAGTTGATTCCTTACTGCCGTCCCAGACAACGATAGGTTTTCATGGAGTTGCTCCCATAAGATGTGAAATGCCCTGCCCTTCACCAGAAATCTATTTTCCGTACAAGCTCAGGAACAGCATTGCCACAAATCTCATTAACATTTGCTGACACATTTTGAGGTCACATGCATTATCTTTCTAGCCACTGCAACACATCTTTCAGTGCTGTGTGTGCTTTGTCATGTCAGCACCAAGTAACCAGAAGCAATTGTTTCCATAGGACCACTAACACTACAGGATTGCACAGCAAATGTGTTACATGGAGATAATTTGCGTGCAGCTGTATTGGGTGGAAAAAAAAAAAGTTGAGACCTAAATAGCGGAAAGAAAAAGCAGATACTTTGTTCATGGGTATTTATGTCTGCCAACAAGTTGTATCGTAGTGGATGGCCTCACATTCCCATAAGAGCACTCGGGGTGTCAAACTGCATGTGACAGGCAAGGCCTGCCTGCAGGCAGCAGCATGATGTGCTGTGCCTGCTCCTCTTAGTTCTGCTTGAGAAACACCCCTGATTCCGCAAGGCATAGTCAAAGGTAAGAGGACGGGAGACAGGTCAACACTTTCTGAGTGAATCAGGCTGTAGAGGGAAGTGAATTGACATAGCATGTTGAGATCATCGGGAGCCTGAGCCTGTAAATATTTGCTAGCATGGAGCAGGCATCCCTGTGCCAGAAGCACGTGTATTTTTTTTAAAGGTCAATCAGCTGTGGGAGGTGTTGTCAGTCTGCTTCTGCCAGCCTTTCCTGCGTGCAGATGTCAGGGCTCTGGCTGAACAAGCTCTGCTGAGTTGGGCTGTAGGAACCAGTGCAGGGCACCTCCTGTAAACGGGCAGGTCGGGAGGGACGACTGCTAACTTACAGTCACGGCAGGTTGCCAAAATCCTGAACCCACCTCCCACAGAAAACACACTTGGTAACACTGTGCCCCAAGTCAAAAGGGAGCCCGGGGAGCTGAAGCAGGCAGCTTGACATGTCAAATCCCCTTCAGCTCACTGACAGCAGAGGGAAAGCCTTTTTTTTTTATTACTTTGTTTGTTTTGTTTTTTAAAAACATAGCATGTGATTCTTTTGGGGGTTTTTTTTGGACAAACGCTTATTTCCAAGCACAAAATTTCTGATGTGGAATGATACAATATGCATGCAAAACCCCACAAATAATAAAGCAAGAGGTGAATAATCACCCAGTTCTTTTTCAGCTGTGATTTTGAGAGGCAAAGTGAATGGCCACACTCCATTTTAGACATCTTAGTTTAAATAAATAGAGGAGTCAAGTTCCACTAGGCCTGCCTAAATGAGCTGCTGTTCTGCACTCTACGTAGCATACAAGAGCAAAGTCCCTACCTACAAAGCAAATGGCTATTAAAGACACTTCAGTGCTAGCAATAGCTTGGATTGAACAAACTATGATAGAGCATAATTGGCCAGATTAAGTAGTTTTATCAAAATCAAAACACTTTGCAAAATTAGGTCAATCTTACTGGAATTTCATCTGGGGTAAAACGAGTGAAAAAGCTTTCCCAGCATTGAACTACCTCATTGCAAGATTTTTTGGGAAGAAGTGTGTTGAGTCGTTATTTACCAGCCTAAAAGCATGCAATAAAATTGAATGTACTATTTAAAAATCAATTGTTGCAAATTTTAAACAATTGGGTTGGAAATATCAAACAGTTTTACCACATGATAATGGGGTGAAGGGTGATTTGCCTTTTTTAACTTCCTGTTATGGAATATTTCAACACTTTTGTTTTAGGCTCAAAATGAATAGGAAAACAGATTTCAAATACACATCATTTTTCACAAAATTATCTTACATCCTTCATAAACAGCATGACTGTTACTCCTCCTCAGAAGAGATACCAGCTATTGTAAGGAGCTTCTTTTTTGGGAACAAATTGTTAAAGGCTAGGAATGCTGCTCAGGGTTTGACTTGTTGTGAACAGTGTGTTTATGGAGTACAATCTGAAGCCCCACTGTAGTCAATAGCAGGGTTTCTGATGGTTTCTGAGGCTTTAGATGACATTCAGAATGTACGTGTTTGTAACACCCAGCTCCATAGTGGAAAGAGACAAAACCACTCTGTGATAACCTACCAATGCATCTGCTTTATGCTTTAGCTTCTTAGCCTCTTGCATGTAATAATCCGCATTGTGAAGCCTGAAGAGACAAAATCAATTATTTCAAGTCTTTGTTTTCATACAGTTGGACAAACATTGTTTGAGAAAATTGCTGACTGCTTCAAGAACAATTTCGACACATACACCCACTTATCTATTTAAATCTTAACCTGATATTAATCTGAAGCTGCTGTATGCAAAGATATGATGGGTGACCAGAATGTAAAATAACTAGCTGTAGAAACTGGCCACCCAAAGGACCCATTAATGTGTGCTGAACAAAGGAAAAGAAAAAATATTTTAAACTAATTAAGTATAAGAAGTTTCCATTAGAGGAGCTAAAATAAAAAAATGAAGAAGAATTACCGTGGACCAACATTCATGATCTGAAAACATTTATCAACAGAGTCTTCATTAATCAGTGACAACAGTCCATTTGTAAAGATTAAAACTGTGTGTGCCTTTGTGCAGCAATATCCACACAGGTGCCCAATGCTAGTGTTATAATCAAAGATACTCTTTTTCACTGGGAGCTCTGCCTGCATGAAAATCCCAACCACATAACATGCAGCTAGCACAGAGATCCAATAATACTTACACATCATCAAATGTTATTTTGGGTCTTCTGGGCTCAGAATTCCCATTGGAAAGTGTTGGCATTGCAGACCAGATGTCTGTTTCTAGGTGGCTGGTGTCAAGAAGAGTGTTGGCTGTTGGTGTATTGTGAGATTCTTCCTCCTAGAAAAAAAGGACTGCTATTAACTCTTCATAGTTCAAACAAACACCTTCCAACAATGTAAGTGCTCACATCCCCCCCCTCGCCCCCCCAAACAAACAAACAAACAAACAAAAGGCTAAGGCACAAAGAAGCACTCATATATACCCAACTACGTCCAGGTTACCTCACAAAACCACCCTTCCGTCCTTTAGAATGTAAGCCTATTAGATTAATTAGGCAATATGACTCTACCTCTGACCCCTCACCTGAACTCAGGAACTTACACTCTCGGGTGAAGTTAGCCTGGATACCGCAGTGTAACTGACTAGAGACGCTGGTTAAAGCAAGGGTGGGGAAATCTAATGCGGAAGGGCTGGATGTAAACTCAACTTCATTCAAGGTGTATCATGCTAATGTAACCTTTTTTTCTATATTACTGTTAGCTAACTGTAAGGCGTCTGAATAGTCTTCTCGTATTTCAGCAAAGAACACTTTCCTCACCATTGCGACACGAAACAGAGAGAAAAATGGAAAGCAGAAGTTGTGATTTTGCATTGATTAAAACCAGAAGCGTAACAGAGGCATTTAAATCAGGCAATTGCAACTTGCAAGCTAGGTCCACCACCAGATAAACTCAATTACAGATGAACCAGTGAACTAAGGAAAGAAGTCTAACGTATTTTAGAAGACAAATATTTCATGTATCAGGATAACAGATAAACCAAGGATAAATCTGACTAGAGATGCTGGGAGTGAGAGGAAGTGGCCCTGCTGTTTACACAGCATTGTTTATTTGCTGACACATGCAGTTCATTTTGGCATTGATTTCAGTTGAAGGCGTGTGTATTACTCTCGCAGCTTGAAGTGACACAATGATATCAGAAAGCAACAGGGATGAATGAATAAGGTGAAGTGATTTGTCACCTACGATCCAATGCAACTTGTGAGTTTTACTATTACAGTGCAGGGTAACAACCTCCCACAAAGCGGCGAACTGTGAAAAATGGGGCTATGCATGTCCTTTTCTGTGGCAGAATTTTCTTCTTGTCTTTTAATTTTGACAGTGATAGTAAGATACAGTTTGATACTAAATAATATGTTTGAAACTGTAGAGGGAGGACTGTTCTCTAAAATGGGCCAAAAACTTGAAGTTTCCCTGTTCAACCTAAAAGAGGATGACAAACTAATGTGAAATTTTACTTTTTTTTAGTGTATTTGCTATGCAGCTTCTAGTTTTGGCTCTTTTTCCTGCATTTTCAGTAAAAAAAATCTGAATCTGGTGAAAAGCAAGCAAAAAAGAATTGCCTATGTGAAAACCTTTGATGGGGAGATGGCCCTAACAGAATCATGGTTTTTTGGGGGAAAAAGCCTCCAACTATTTACAAGGTATCTAAAAGCTTTTATATGTAATTCATGGAGATTAGGTGTGAATAAACCTTACTGCTGGAAGCTGGGAGCCTGCAAACCTGAGAGAAGATATTTCCATGTTGAGTGTGCTATGGACAGGTAGCTTTTTGTTAGATTTTTATTGTCTGGTTAGTTTAGGCCGCAATATTCAGTACAACCACAGTGCTTAATTCTGGCTGAGAATTTGGGGTAATTATTCAAGTGATGGACACCAAAATTCTTGAAGTTTTGTTTTCAAAACTTGTGTGTTGTAGCTACAGAGTTAAGGGATTAATTGCAGCTAGCTGGTGGCTGCAAAAGCCTCCTCTAAGGCTCGGGGACTGGGTGTTTTAGGGAGTGATACACAGCGCCCAATAGATACCTACTGCTGACCTAAAAATGGAACTTGCAAGAGTTGCTTATGCCCAGCTCTGCAAAGATCCACTCCTCACTGCTCTTGAGTGGGGCTACATAAGCATTTAAAAATAGATACTGGAGGAAAAAACATCAAACAGAACAAAGCCAAGTTAATTTTATTTTATCTTGTTCACTTCCAGCAACTGAGGTCGGTTACTTACACAGATTCCTTTGGGGTTAGAAGAGGATTTATTTTCATTCTTTCTGTGTTTAGAAACAGAGGAGGAAGAGCTGCTGGTCTGAGAGGTGTTTGTGATGTTGGTCTCTTGGCTGAAGGAGCCGTTGTCACTGCTGTGCCGCCGGTGCACAGGCTCATCCAAGAGGGGGGATAATGGAGGAGGAAACAGCTTCTCTTCTCTTTTCTTTGCCACCTTCTTCACTGAGCTACCGCTGCTCCTGGGACACAGATAAGAACCAGGTGCATTTCAGGAACCTTGGTTAATCCTCCATAGCACAAAGCTCTACATTTTATTTACTGAGAAGCCAGCTCTACGCTTAAATATGTCCTGCAGTCCATGTGTCCTAGGAGCTAAGTCAAAAGGGGACAAGCAGTGAAAACAGAAGAGCTACCTCTGTCTTTTCAATGGCTGCAGAAACGTCCTGCTTTGGAGGACAACTTCCAGTGCATTAGTACAAATTGCACCCAATTTAAATGCTAATTTGAGTCCGTCTTCATTTGAGAGGTCATAGAGGTTCTGACTCAGCAAAGTGCTGGAAAGTTTTATGCATCGGGTTAGTTCCTTTGACATCAAGTATGACTATTTACGTGTTTAACATTAAGCATCTTTTTAAGAGGTGGATTAGCGCCCACATAAGCAACCTTTGCAAAAAAACCATAATAGCACATGGCATGTGAAGGAAAAAAAAAAAATTTCTAACAACTACAAAATGATAACCATAACAATAACATGATAATAATTATTTGACCTCTAGAATAAAACCAATGTTCAACACTATATTAAAATGATACATTGTAGCTGGCAAAAGCCCTTGAGCAAATATTGGTTGATGAATTGAACGTGATTCAGAAAATGAATGTGGTTTTGACATGAAAGCTCAAGTAATATGATAATCTATTGTCTGTTTTATGTACAGAAATTGTTAGCTGGCTGGAAATGGCAGCTGTGATACACAGTAAAAACCTGCTAGACCTTTTTCCCCTCAAATCCATCAGAAAAGAAAAAAACAAAACCCAACACCATGCTGACTGTTTAACATGTTAATCTACTCATAGATTTTTATTTTAGGTACTGTCCTAGCTCAGTCAATGAAGATAACCTGAATTTTAATCTTTTGTTAGACATCTCATATGGCACTACACAATCATTTACTTTTCATGATTATTGACTAAAATTTCAATAACAAATTAAGTCAACAAGAATTTATGTTTCATTCCCAGTCACTTTCGGTCAGTGTCAGGAATTATAGATCTACTTTGCCTTAAAGTAACCAGGGAAAGAGGAGAAGGCAACCGAAGTTTCCTTACTCCTCATTTCGGAGTGGTCTCTCATTCCAGTCTGGCCTCTTCTGCACTTTCACCAACAGTATCGATATCTACACCTGCTTTGGTCATTCCCCTACTTTTGGCCTTTGGTGATACAAAAATATTTTGGCTGATCTGTGAAATCACAGAGTGAAATCAAACAAAATTCCCCATGTTTTAGGTTTTATAGCTTTTCTACTCAAAGCTATTTTAATTTGACTGAACCAGAGTTAAAAATATCTTATTTGAAACTCTCTGATATTAAAGATCTTCAGACTGAAGAAATAAAATGAGCACAGAATTGATATTGCCTTACAGTAGGACTTGTATGGATGCTGTCCTGCTCAGAAAACACATGGGCCTGAAGAAGATCAAAGGAAAGCAACCAGGCTGGAAGAGACTGGCAGTTCTTCGAGGAGACTGATTTTGTGCACATGTGGTCCTGCAACATGTCCTCCCAAAAGTTCTCACTCAAAGCCCCATCTGTTAGCTTTCTTACACCCAAAGGGCATTTTGGAACTCAGACAAGTTACCATAGCTATAGCACAATAACACTCTGAACTTTTTCCAGAGGAAAGTTTTCCAAGGGAGGGTAAGCACTGCCCCAAGAAAGCGTGCATGTGTTACTGGATTGTACAGAGGCAAAGCAGACACGGTTCATGAAATACCCAGGAGCAGAATCCAAACCCTCTGCCTCCCAAATCAGTGTCCTACACAGGGAACCCTGAACATGCATATATGGGTGGGAGCACAGAGCGAAGTGGTTCTTCATGCCCCTGTGTATGGAGGTGTGTGAAGCTCTTCTTTCTCCCTAGCACAGCTTTGCAAAGGGAAGAGCAACTGAGTCTGGCAGATCTATCCCAAAAGCATCTGAAGAAAAACTGAACATGAGCCATTGGCCAAGCCTCCTTTAGGATCTGACCCTGCACCACTAGTGAGGTTCCTCAGCACATCTGTGGCTATTTCCAGGGCTGATGCAGGACTCTCGCACTTGCACAGAGTATACCACTGCATGGGGAAATTCAAGGTACATATAAAGTGATCGAAGCAACATTCCTCAGCTGCTACACAGAGGTGGAGGGATTAAGAGAGTAGTACAAGAAAAAAATTAAGGTGGCTGCAGGTACCATGGTTAAAACTTCACTACTTAAAACTTTACCAGTTCCCTTCATCTTTGGACTCAAATATAAGATGGGGCAAACCAAGAGAGAGATGCAGCTACTCAGCTCTGGCACACAAGTCATTCTGTGGGTGGCAAGACTTAACCACAAAGGAAAAAAGGCACTTGAGGGTATTTTTTTTCTACATAACTCGAATTAAAACAAACAAAAAAAGTAATACTTTACGGTTATAATTCTGCCTTTTTTTCCCTTTTTTTCTTTTTTTCCCCTATTGCCCACTTACTCCTATGAGTTTTTGCAGGAATTAAGCTGATAATTTATTTAGCAATGTTACCTCCCTCAGATTTACGCCAAAGCATTTATGTTAACAATAACCTCCATGAAATAGGTTGTTACCAGCAGTTAACCAGATTGTCACTTTGCTTTGGGCTGTTAATGGGCTAAGAAACTGGTCTTTGATTGCAGTAATCACTAATTTTGAATGAATTTATTGCAATAATTACCGAGACTCAATGGTTTAATTTGCTGACATGATTGTTAGTTAAACTATATTTAAAATCTAAGGAGAAACACAATAAAAGTGCAAGGAAAAAATACAAGCAGAACTGATGGTCTTGTGGCTGCAGGGTTTAATCTTTGTGTCTGAAAAGGCCAATTATCAAGGAACGAGAAGGCTCCCCATCTGGTTTTTTTTCAGCCTGGTTTCTTTTAGGGTAGAAAGCAAGCAAGCAGGCAACAAGAGGTCAGTGTGTGAAGGAGAGAGAATTTCCATCTACTCTCACATTTCAAGCTGCCTTTCTTTGCCCTTTTTTTATCCACTCCTTGTGGTATGCAGTGGTATCTCTGGCCTATTAGAGAGACAAAGCCATTGTCTATAGCACTCACTTGGCTTTCCTTTGCCTCTACTCTCCCAGTCCACAATGAAATGCTGCACATTGACGGTGTATCTGATTTTCTGCAGGGGGTTAGCAGGGAAAGGTCACTCCTGCATTAGCTTGGACCATATGGCAGCAACTGAATGAAGCTGAAGTCATTGTCATAGATGTAGAAGGCTGCCTCTGCCGTGAACGAACCCCAGTGAATGCTGTTGTGACTACCCAAGGGATTGGCTAATATATGTTGCCAAGTACAGGTGCATCTTTAACTAAAGGTCAAACAAAAGGGATCAGGAAATCCTGGAAAACAGGCTGAAATGCTTGCCTCAGACAGACTTCTAGCGTGCCTGTGAAGACGGCAGGCATGTTTCACTGGTATGAGTCTAGTCTGAAATTCAGACTCACAGTTTGCATCAGCAGATAACTCTCTGTGTTGTTACAAACTGCCAAATGTTGGTGAATAGTGCTCTGTCTGGACTGGGTCTACCAATCAGGTATTCAGATATAAATGGTATTCAGCAGCACATACAATTAATGCTTAAATTAAAATTGCTCTGGCAAGCAAGTAAATACATAAATAATCCTCTGCTGCAAAGCGGGCAGCTGGTCTGACAAAAATCCAGCCTCACAGCAGTGTTTCAAGGTATTGCTATGAATTACTTGGACAAAACACAGTATCATCTATTCCTTAATTTGCTACAAAATATCAGAAATAAGGAAAATACAGTGGCAATAGTTGGAATAATTATAAGCGTCACGTCAGATTTAGGAAAAGGCATCAGCCCCAGAATGTGTGAGGGAAGGAACAGAGAGAGATAACTAGTTGCTTATGCAATGACTACATAATACAAACCGGCTCTTTGGTTGTGCAAATGGCTTTTAAATTCACAACTGACCATTTGAATTTTCTACACTCAAATTGTACATGTAGTCATAGAAACTTGTGGAAATTAGGCATATAATTGCCCATATTAGACATGTAACCCTTTAAAAATTAATTGTGCATCTTTGCTTGCTTTATTGAGCCCATATACTTAGGGAAAGATTATGACAGAAATGTATTCAAATGCCTAAACCATAGATAGGCAGCCAGTGGGAGCTGCAAAAGCACAGGTGTGGCCTATCTTTCACTGATTCCTCCAGACTTCTGAATGCCTACAAATTTTGGCCCAGAGATCACGGTCTTTCTGTCAAAAGACTCTTGTATCTATAAAAAAGCCCAAGGAAAGCCTCTGAAGTCTGCCTTGGGGAACTTGGCTTGTTGGCACAGGGATCAAGTTCTAATGGGAGAGACCTAAGGTTCCTCCCGAGTGAGAGCATCCACCATGGGACGTAACACCTTCTTAATGGGTGAACCTCATCATCACACCTGTAGCTGAATCACCCTCATTTCTCAAAGTCCTTGCGCAGAGACTTAGGAGTTCTGAAAGAAAACGTAGAACCTTTGGGAATAAAGGAGCAAATGGCAAAGCCTGTCTTTCAACCTTTTACCACTGAAGTGTTATTTTCCCCCATGCCCTTGAACAGTGTACTTTCACCTTCCCCTTTTGTCTGCCTCTCCTTAAAACTCTACTTAACCCTCTGGAGAACAGAACCACTCCTGACTGCTTAAAAACAGTCTGGGGCTCTCCAGAAACTTGTCGTCACACAGTTCAGCCAGCTCCCTCATCTTTTGGGAAATACGTTGATCTATATTCAGTTGCACAACTCTGGGAGTTGAAGACCTGAATTATCGAACGATATTACATTTGTTTCAAGCAAACGCAGAAGACACTAATAACAAATGCAGTGTGATCCAGGTCCCAATCACTGCAGTGGAAAAGAAGTCAGAAAATTGTGTTTCAAAACTTGAGGCAGACCAGAGGAAAAGCTAGCATATGGAAATAACTATTGATGGACACAATTATATTTTAACAGAGAATACTAAAGGCTTGAAAGCTCCAAGGAATCAAATTAATGACCTGGAAAACAAGCTCAAATTAAGAAACATCAGGTTGGGGGTGGATCCTTAGGGCTTGCTGGCGGCAAGAATAGAAAGATTTTTTTAATGGATTGTGGAGGTGTTGGGGTGGATAATCCTTGATTCCCTCTGCAATATATCTCTGCTCATTGTATTTCTAGCAATGACAATCAGGCAACACCCATCATGATGTTTATCAAATGTGCAACATGTTACAGATCACATTGTAACTTTCAACCCATCTGCCTTTTCCAGACTCCAACTCTGATTTTCTCAGGGGTAGAATAAGTGGTTAGTTCAAGGACTGAAGTTACTCTATAATTACACCAGTATAAATGAAATGATGCCCAACCTTCTTTATGGATTTTAAAATTTGTGTGCTATTTCCTAAATGATTTTTGAACTTTATCTAAATTTAAGTACTACCACAGTCAAATTGTTTTCAGAAGCACATTGCGGGTTTGATTCTTTGCTTGTCCTAGCAGAGAGAAGTGCCTCATCTCAAAACTGTAAAAGCACAAAACTGATGACAGAAGGGAATTGGACTCTTTGCTTATTTATAGAATGTTAATCTTGTGATTAGACTAATCAGAATAATTATTTACGTGGCACCTGTTTGCTCAAGCATTATAGCCATCCCTCAAAGACGCTCTGAAATGCACAAACTGTTTGATTATATGTCTGCTGAAATACCAAGCACGTATGTCTGAAACATTTAGGATTGTCACCCCTGGCATTGCTGTATACACAGTTAAAGAATAAGAGCTGGTGAAGTGAACATCAAAGTCACTATTTCATTCAATAAAACCAAGAACTGTCTCTTACGAAAACAATTTAAAAAAATAAATTCCAAGCAATCAAATAAAGCCCGCTTTTAGTAGGATTCTCTGGCCACAGAGGTTAAGGATGATGCGGGCAAGAAAGAACATTGAAAGGATGCAGTATGGGGGTAGAAGAGTACACCAGGATTGTGGTGGCACTCTGAATTCCTGTAGTCCATCAGAAGGATGAATGAATCTCATCCAAAACCATGTGGATCCTCTTCCTGATGGATGGGAATAGCAATGCCAGGTCATTTATGCTTATGGGCTGTAAAGCCCATCTGGCTCTACAGCAAAGACATTTGTAGAACTGTACTGCGAAATCCCTCATGAATGTTATGTGAAAAAAAAAGAACTTACTCTTTAGTGCTGGTTAATCTGTGATTCGGTATCGGAGAGATACAAGGTGGGAGCAGGCATGAAGCTGAAGGGTCCTCCAGGCGCTGCTTCTTGCTTTCAACAAAGGTATCCAGGCTTTCTGTCTGCTTTAACAAAAAAGGTAGAGCTTGAAAGATCCAGCATCTATGCACAATTTCACTTGCCATTAAGAGGAGCTCAGGAATCTCAGTGTATTTCCTTTACGGTAGCAGCAGTTAAAATACTAGTCTAAGAGAAGTGAAAGTCACCTGAAATCAGGACTAAACGTGCTACAAACACATGACATGAAGTTATATAACAAGTGACATAGCCAGATAATTAGGAAGCAAAATGCCTCATGTGCTGTAGTTATCTTCTGTAGTGCACTGGAATTTAATTAATAATTCAGATGGAATGACTTGATAGCACCTAATCTTACTCAAGTAAATAGCTTTTACTCATTGACTTAATGGAAGTTGATGGGAAAACTTCCCTGAGTAAGTATTCCTCACAGGACTAAAAGACTACAGGACTGAGCTGGGGTAGTCATTAACAGCAATAGCTGGTTTAAAATTTGCTTTGAAAGATTCCCTGATGCATGACTTTTGTGCCTGAACTAAGATGATACAAGCAAAGCTGATTACTGCTCTGTCACTGGAACCTTCATATCAGCCTTCAAGCCCACTAGTAGATGGCTAAAATAAATCTTTTAATAGCATGATTTAGAAACACAAATCAGGCTCTCCCTACCCTGTTTCAACTGTTGATATACCCTCAAGTCATCCTAATTGGTTTGTTTCCCCTTGGGTAGCAGTGAACAATCATACAGCAACTGAACGGGCTGTTTCAGAGCGCAGCTTATGTTTGTACAGCCCCAGAGTGAGATTCCTCATTTTGTTACTTTCTGATTCAAAGTCCCAGCTAATGAAATTATGAGGTTCCAACGTTCATATACTGCCCCCGCCCCCCTTTTTTTTCCTGGGATCCTTCAGTTTAGCTGCCAATACTATGCTCGTGTTTTAGCCAAGATTCCTTCTCCATCATACTGACACTCCATTAAGTTACCTAGCAAGAAGGTTTTTTGTATAATTAATATACACCCTGGTGTACATATACATACACATAAGCATGGACATTTATACATCCCTTTCCTCTTTCTTCTCTTCTCCTTCCTTCTTACATCTCTGCCTTTAGTGTACAGCTAGAATATAAATTGAATAAAAACCTGCTGAGTTTACTCATGTGATTATTTCCACTTAATTCAACAGGGAAGGAGCCAGTGCAGTGACTCATGTAGGCAGGGGTGCAGACCCTGTGTCTGCCTGGCATTGTCTGTCTTTGTCTTGTATTAACTCTCTCGTACCACTGGACTGCTCAAACTCAGGATTTCAAGAAGTCCACTAGAACAGACAGCTGAAGCCACATTCATGATGATTTATAAAATTTGGGGCATAAAAAAAATACACTATGATGACTTCTCACGGACAGACCAGAGCACAAACATTTCAGCTGGAAAAACTGACTACAAAAATTCATTTATGATATAAAACTTCAGTTTCTTTTCTGAAAACACATTTAGTTTCAAGTGCACTGTCATATCCCACAAGATAGGAAACCCTTGGGCACAAATAACATAAAACACATGATAAAACATAATGCCTTAAGTCAAAATATATTTGCTTTTTCAGGTAGCTGTGTAGAGAAAGCAGCTAGTTAAGCAAATGATATTTCTATGAATCACATTTGTTTACGCAAGAAAACAATATAAAGACTAAATTCACCAGGAGCATAAGCAAGCACCATTCCATTGACTTTAATGAAGCTATGCCTGTTTAAGCCAGTGGTGAAAATGCCTTAATTCTGCAGACAATAAAACCCTGCCTTCCAAATGGAAGTCATATTTTCTGAGTATGGCTGAACTCGTAGTAATATGAATTCATCATTGGGAATCTTTCTGCTGATTACAGAACACTGGAAATTAATGAGTAAGTGAGCAAATACAGTGAAAAAGCTTGTAAGACAAATCTCAAAAAAATACATTGTTCATTGATTTTGTCAGCTGGAGTTTGTTTTTTACTAGTTTCTGATATTAATTTGTAATGTACTTGTAAATGTATGTCCTTTGTAAAAACAACAAAGCCTTAGTGTTATGATGCCTCCTTACAGCCCTGCTGCGGGTGCAGTGAGGAATCATTGACTGCAGTCCTGACCTCGAGGATGCACAGAAATTCAGTGTTTTCCTCTGAACGATGAAAATGACTTACCTTGTGTTTCCTTTTGGATTTTGTGGATGGTTTTTCAGCTGCTGGGGTAGGAGACTCTCGAGACGGTCGCCTGTGTTTCACATTTGCCTCTCTCGGTTCGCTTTTCACAGACGTGGTCTCAAAAGGCTCTTGTCCAGGTATCCTAGAGAGTAAACTAAGGTCTATTTTCACCCACAGAGATTTGAGTTCTTCGTATTCTCTCAGTGGGGACAGAAGTTCATTTTGTACGATTGGGATAGGAGAAAAGAGCTGCTCCTCCAAGTCATTGCTGGTCTGGTCAATGGATGTGTTGCTGCCATTGCTAGTTAAACTACTTACGCTGAGGATGTTACTGCCAGAGTCCTTCACTTTGACGCCATTGCCAGACCCAGTGCAAGCTGGCAACACCTTAGCCTGCAAGCTCTCCTCCTGGTCTGTATTTGAGTCAGAAGTAGATGAATCTGTTTCAATGAATTCCCGGGACTTAGGGACAATTTTGCTGGGGCCTCTGTACTTTTTCTTCTCTGAAGTGAGACCTGTGCTAGTTCGTGGTTCTTTCCTTGGAGCGGTCTTCCCAACTGCTGCTTTAGTTCGAACCTTTGGCTGCTCAGGGGGTTCCTGTGTGTCTTTTTCTTTGGGAGTGTTGCTGGTATTATTTGGTTTGGGCCAGTTATACTCTTCTACACTGGAAGTCCTTTCTACCTTTTTGGGTTGCTTTTTCCCAGTAGTCCTTTGTGAAGTGGGCTCATTATGAGCTGGTGACTTCTGCTTGGAGCTTTTTGCCTCTGGGGTTTTCTGGGCAACCCGCGGTTTGGCTTTCTCTCGGATGGGACTAAGGATCGCCCGGTCTTTGGAATCAGTCGGGGGCAGGCTGCTGTTGAGCTTCCCTTTGTTTGGCCCTTCGGCCTGCTGGTTGCTCTGGGCCTGGGAGCTGGGCTCGCTGTGAGGCTCATTTTGATTGTTGATGATGGTCTTGTTGTGGGGGTTCACTTTATTTAGCCATTTATCCAGCTGCCATTTGTTTGTTGAGGGAGGTTCAGGCTGCAGTTTAAAGAACAACAATGAACAAATCTCAGACAGAAGCAATGCTTTTCCCTTTAAATGAGAATGTTTTTAACGTACCCTTTTATTTCAGTCAACTAGTGGTGACTGCTAGTTTTATGGGAGTATTTATGGAGTATTTATGGTTAATTAGGCTTCCTTATCTGGTTTACAATGTGGCCCTGGAGAAATTTAATACAACTAAAAAGTTTAGCTGGTCCCTGAAGACTTAGTTTTGTCATGTTGCCTTTCCTTAGTCCCAGCTGAATACTGTGTCAATAAAATCTTCTCTAGCTACTGGCAAAAATCTAAATATTTCTTTAAAGCAATTCAAATGTAGGCCAGAAGGATTCTTCCAAAAGCTAGAATGAGTATGTGGGTCATACTCATAAAACTGTAAGGGGAGAAAAAAGTTGACAGCATCACACAGCACAGAACTCCAACTTTCCTAACAGGGAGAGGGATTTCACTCTCCTTCACGCTTCCCCCTTCCAAGACCCTACTGGGGAGGAGCCGAGTGTGGCTTTACCTCTGGCGTGGCACTGCGTGACTCCTCATTGCACTCGCTGTCACTGGAGCTGCTCTCGCTGTCGGAGTCGGACTCGGAGCTGCTCTCGGACTCGCTGGAGCTCCCGGAGCCACCGCTGGAATGGGCCAAGCCAGTTGCATGTGCCGCCGGCACCGGCAGGCTGCTGTGGGGAGAAGATCCTCTTGTGTCAGTATGCTGCTTGTCTTTTTTAAAGTGTTGCCTTGAGGGGAGCCACCCAGCGAACCCCGTTCACACCGACTTTCCTCAGTGTCAACTCCCTCTCCTGCAGTACAGACCCAATGAAAGCTCCAGCGGCCATGCCACCGCGTAGCCACCGAAGGAGCCGGTTGGGTTTACGCTTCACGGGACACACTGATAATGGTGTTAATAACATTGCCATCATCATCACCCTCAAATGAGAAACACTTCAGTGTCATAAGCCTGAGCTTATTAGCCCAATGATTGCGAAAACTAACAATCACACTTAAATAATTCATTAATGGAATCATGGTTTCTTCATTTTTTGCCAGTTCATTTATAATTTATGATCAAAGGAAGGACATCAGGCAACAAATATTGGACAGGGCATTTTAAAAATTAATTTTAATGAATACTTTTACACTGTGGCATACAAAACCTACATATTTTTGACAAGTCTCCAGGGACTGCCCAAGAATTTTTTATTTATAACTGTTTTTTTCTCTCATGTTTATGATAATGCAGTGAGAAAATGGCATTCATGCTGAAAATAAGCCGCTCTGTGAAATCTATTTTTCTGCGTGTTCAACTGTCCTCCAAGATGTATTTATTAGCAGTGTACTGGATGTCATTGTTTTTCCTCAGTGTTTATTTCTAAACTGAGAGGTTGGATGACCCCAGTTTTTAGCACTACAGAATTCTGCCAGTCTGAGTCTTTATAAACCCATCTTTAATTTCAACTTTTTTGTCAGGGAGATAACCATAAGGTTTTATGTCTCTTCAGCTGATCTATACAGAGACTTTTTGATGATTGATTTTAAATTTGTGAAGCTGACAAAGCAAAGTGTTTGAAAATTGACACCATTTGCTAGTAGTCCTTTATGGATATTCAATACTTCACCTTAATATATCATACACCGTGTGTGTCCCATATTGAGTGATCCAGAGATGCCTAGAAGTTACAATACAGCTTTGCCTTTGTTTCTGCCATCTGCTTTTCTACTTTCCTCTGACAAGGATTCAAGTAAGCCAGGTACATGACTCCTTCCCCTTTCAAACTGAGATGCTATGTGCATCAAGATGCCCTCTTAAAAAAACACAGTAACCAAGAAACTGGAAGTTGGAAAAGCCAGAAAAAACTGATGTGTGTCCCTGCTCTGCTAGAGTCTTTACAAGTATTGCCATTGGCTTCCGTGACAATAATAGATGATCTTTAATTTTCTTCTTACGCTAAGCTACTTTCTCTCTCCCTCCTTGTTGGTAAACCTATCCCTTACACCACAGTTGGGAACATAACTGTCTCTTTGAGCATTGCAATGGCCCTGCAGTGCCCATTGACAAAACAGCTTGGTGCTTTAGGGTGCATTAATGAAACAAAATTACTCACTTGGGTAATTGCTACAGATCACTAACTTTGTTGCTCATTAAGTGCATATATATTTTTTTTTCTTCTTCTAGAGGTTCTTCACTCAACTGACTCAAGTAGAGCTACTTAAAAAATTTGAACTGGAAGTAACAGGTAAATCAAAACAGATGCTTTAAAAAATATGGGTATTTCCAAATATATTACAGAAACCTAAACATTGCTGAATTAAAAAATGGATCTTACACTTTGTATTCAATGTAATTATTTTTGGAAATCATTTGTGCACTTGTTTTTCTTTCTTTATCCCTCCTTTTCAGTGAAGCTCAAGAAAGTGTAAGGAAATACATTTTTCACTTCTTTTTTACAGTAAACAAGGAAACAGAACAGTGGAGCAAAAGCGAATGTGTTTGCAGGGGAGTTTGCCTTTCAATTCAATCTCTTGTAATTTTGGTCTTATATTTTCTATTTGGAAAACACTAAAAGTAGATGAAAACTGAGTTTTCCTACTTCATTACAATTGTTTCCAAGAAGAAACAAAAAGGAAAAAATAGAAAAAACTTCAAGGATTCCCAAACTGAGAGGGCAAACATGACAATTCCATTCTAAAATACCAAAATGAAACATCAGCCTTGAAAAAAATGTTATTTATGGAATTATCAGAGCAATGAAGTTGTAATTTAGAAATCACTTTTCCCCTAAATCTGTGAGCTTCATCTATTTCACTTCTACTTTCCGTTTTCACCCCCAAATGGAAGTGAACATAGTAATATTCATGTTTCACCCTTGCTGAAAACTCCAGTTCCCACAACCCTAGCAGAGAGCGGGCTGTGAAGACGAAGAGCTGTTTAGCGCTCCGCAGCCTCTCCGAGAGCTCAGGGCAGGACACACGCCTGCCTGCCTGGTCCTGCAGAGAGTTGCGGGGCCCGTGACTGCACCGAGCTGGTGGGGCATCAGCCACGTCCCCTGCAGCCCAGTTCCTGCAGGGAATTAATGCACCTTTGTAGCAGGGCACATAAACCTGCACCAGACTCTTGCAGTGACAAAGCTCCTTGCCTGGGGTGGTTTATGCCCAGGCAACCCGAATAGAGAAGGATGTGTGTGGGGCTGCTCACACATCTGTGTAGATCTGCCTAAGAAAATGCTCTGTTGTCAGTGCTGGCAAGTTTGCTCTCATTAAGATAACTGATTTAAAGAATATCACCTCTTATAATAGATCAAAGAAGGAAAAGCCAGTGTCCCAGCAGCTAAGGCCAGACCTTTCTAGCCTTTAAACACAACCTACGTCTTTTAGCACTCTGGAAGAGAACTGACACTGTAGCTGGGATGCGCTTACACAAAACAACTGGAGTTGTACTGTAGGAGACTGCAACTGTCTGACAAAGAACTCAAAGGGCAAGAATAAAACCATGGAAATAGATGGCAGCTCCAACCTGGCCTTATTTTCTTTCTTTCTGCACACCAGCCTCAGAAAAAGTTATCATATGCCAAACATTACCGAATAACACAGCCCAGCAAGCTTGCGGGAACCAGACAGACTCAAAATAATGTTTTTCATACAAAACACAATGAGGTCATATTTGTCTTTCATCTGGGATAATAAAATTATGCCTTGGCTACATCGGGCGGTTTCATGCTGAAGGCATCATTGCTGATCTACATTTTTAAAGTAGAAGCATTCACTTTTCATCATGTAGTTTGGGTTGAGAGTAACTCTGTTTGTATGCTTTGCAAAACAATCAGATAAGACCCCAAATGCCTTTCCTAGCATCTCACCTTACTAAAGAGAGAGCTCTTGCACATAGCTACACGCACAATCAACTTCTAATAATGCTATTCAGCAGAACAGAAGAAAATATACAGACCTTTCACACACAAATGCATGGAAAAAAAATCTTTGCTTCCAATAAAATGAGTTTCATGGAGAGATTCTGGGTTGTCTTCTGGGTTTTTTCCTTAAATAATATGTAACTTCTAGTTCAAAAGAACAGGTTGGTTTGCAGTCTTCCTAAAGACTTCTTCAGCTTTGAAGTTAAATCATGTTTTAGAAGATGCAGGGATAGATTCTGCAAATGTGCATTCAAGCAGCTGTTATACAAATAAATTGGGCTTCTTCACATAAGTATCAACTACATGAACTGGGGGTTGCCTCTCTTAGAGACTTTCAAAGCAAGCTTTGTTGTGTTGCTAAGATCCAGACAGGGAATGCCAGCCCGGACAAGGTTTAAAATGGATTTAAAGCATTTTATCATCAGACACAAGTCCTCAAAGTGACTAAAGGGGGCAGGAAGCACTGGTATTCCAAACTCTTGAATTTTTATTTCCCAGCAGGAGATGAGCACTCATATTGTTCCTCAGTGTTTGGGTGGACAACATTTTTATTTCATTTGAACTGAAAAAAAATATTAATAAAAACAATGCTGCACAATGGAACACAGTATTGTTTGGGTAAATAACACTTAGAAGAAAGCCAGTTCATTATTATCACTTGAGATTGGAGGCCCCTACTGAGACCAGTGACCCGCTGTGCTGGGATCTGAGTAAATACATGATGAGACACAGTACTTGGGCCAAAGAGCTTGCAATCCAAACACACAAAGCAAACATTAGAGGTATTACAATCATCCTCATACTCAGTGCAGGCCTGTCACATTCTCTAAGTACGAGGCCTCTCTCCAGTTAATGGAAACATCAGTTTCGCCCTCCTTTTGATTTTGTTCTCCCCGTTTTTCAAGCTTTGTGCTCAGCACTTGAGCTGAATCCTGCAGGGCAGTCAGACATGCTCTGCCCTGACCCAGAGCCCTGACCACGGGTGTGCTATCTGGGAGGAAAAATACACACGTGACTCAGCAGCAAGGATCCCCATTGCTCAGGCCAGATGGATCAGCGTCTGCTTACCCCTCCCCAGAGTAGCTTCTCCTGTGCCATGGAGCTGAGGGACACTGGAGTGACACCCATACTGTGGGTGGGAGGAGAACCATGATGATGTCTCTAGTTGCCTGCAGACTGGTAAGCTGGTCTCCTCCCTGCTACCAAACAATGAAGCGGACAGAAGAGACCTGCACATCTGGAAGCAATCTGGAAGGAAGCTCTTCTGCAGCACTTTCACCTATCTCCCTTCTTCTGCTTGTGCAGCACGCGGCACTTCCCTGTCCCTTGCTGCTGGGCAGCATGATTGTGCACAGCCTGAGCACAAAGTATGAGATGAGAAATGGCTTGAAGGAGGGGACAAACACCAGTATCACCAGTACCCACCAGTGGTTTTCAGCACTTGTTGAGCTCAAGCTTAACTACAAAGCAGCTGAGACTTGCAGGTATGTGGCTGCTGATGGCTTCTAGTGAGGAACTGTATCCAGCTCATCACACATCAACCATCTTCCTTTCACTGCAGTTCACTGGTACGGGTGATCTGCCTAAATTTAAATGTCTCCCTGCAGCTTGTCTGTTTTTTAACTCATGGGTTATTTTTCCAAAGCAAATTAAAGCAGACATGGCATTATTATGTGTCTGGATTATTATGTGGCCTAGAGAACTGAAGGCCCAACATGCAGCTTACACTTCTGTTGCTGTTGTTGTCATCATCTAGACTATTATATTATTTTCAACACATCATTTACTCTACTGTTGTAATAAATGATTTTCAAGATTAAACCTGGTAGTTACAACAAAGATAATGTGAAATACCAAGACTCATTAATCTATAATAAGAAAAATAATAAACTTTTTGCCCTGTAAATACATATGTAAAAAAAAGTTGTATAATTCAGACTTCTGCAGTAAAACTCATCAAGGAACAAAAATTCCTCACAAGTCCTTAGCTATCTCTCTAAACTTTTCACCAATTAGATG